CTCTGACCGTTTTGTTTTTAAATATAATTTCGCTAGCGGCATGTGATACACTACAGCACTGCATAAAGTGTTAGCTGATGCAGCAAGTGTCTAAATAAACGGACACAGCAACAAATTGCTGCTTACGTTGTTGACGATGATGCTCCCTTAACCCTCGCCGGCCGAGGGGGGGGCGGGTGCCGCCCCCCCCCCCATAGGGTTTTTTCGCGATAGCTCCGAACACGCTGGCGATAGAGAGCTGAAACTTGGCATACCTGACCTTTGATCCAAGCCGGATCTTTTGACACCAACCGCATTTTTGGGTCAGGTCAGGTCACTGACCTATGACGTCATAAGTGAACCTCTGCACGGTCTTCAGATGTCGCAACTTCGCAACGCCCTCACTGCCAGAGGAGATGTCACAGGGAAATGAAACTTTCAGGATCTAGTATCCATTATGAGTCCCACAACTTGTATATCTCGGATTTTTCCTAAAGGTCATATGAGGTCAGGTCATTTTCGTGACCTCACCATAATAAGTCAATGGGGAAAAATGAAAACTGCTATTCTGGCGCCGGGAACGATCTCCAACTATCTCAAGCACACAGAATCGTGATTTGATGCACTCCTTGCAAGGTTAGATGCGTCACTTTTGCAATGTTGACCTTGCGTGACGTCATTTATGACGTCATCAAGGTCATATTAGTTTTTCGTCAATAACTCTTGATCAAATTGAGCTAGCGAGTCGGGAAAGCCACCAATGGACTCTGGAAGACCTGCCGAATCGAATGATATGCGACTTGACCTCTTTCGACCAACTTCGTGACCTGGGGGTGCTGACCTGACCTTGACCTGAGGTCAACACCCCAAGTTGACCTGACCCGGACAAAAAGTATATCATTCGACGCGCCTGAGCGAGACGAACACGATGCTGCCAAAATCGGCGCTCTGCGGCCGTTTTTTGCGAAGTTATTCACCAAAAACTGAACCGTACCCTGGGGCACTTGACCTGACCTCAGAGGTCACCGGTTGACCTAGGACCTTAAAATCGGGTACCAATCTCTGCGTCTCGTAACGGCGCACACGCTCGTTTTTTCCGCGACGCGCTAGCTCCACCAGGGGCGAAACGGCGAGGGGGGGTCGTACCCGCCCCCCCCCCCTCGGCCGGCGCGTATGTAGAAAACCAATAGGTCCGGCGAGGGTTAATTATGCGTTGCATACCTAAAAAAACGCACTCCTGCCTGGCATTTAAACACGACTTATGCCTCAAGGCTGCGCGTCTGTTATCAGCAGTGCTTCCACGGTAGCCAGAAATAATTCGTCTTCCATAACCCACGACCCAATTGCAAATACGAAGAACAGCACACAAGTCCTTGTGTCGACACCTAGTAATGACGAAAATGTGCTATTTGCTGCATGAACTAGTATGCATTTGCCGCCTAGTATGTACTTTGGCTCTAAATAAAATAGCACTCTGGATGGGGCATGGATGGTCTCTGTGATACACCTATGCAATTCCAGTTGAGTTACATAATACACTTTTCTTCGACGTTTTGTCACATGTGTGGTGTTTGATAATCATCAGCATTACCAAGTTATAACAAATACTGGATGTTGCATAGCTCCTACGATATTTGTACTTGACATAAATGATCAATTGACGGCAGTCAAACCAAAATACTAGGTACTTCCCAATTGTGGCTTTTAGTAGCCGTTCATGTGGCGCTCATGCAATTCGCTGAGGAAGTGGCAATAAAGACCACGAAACTATCCGGTAAGGGCCGAGTTATAGTGGTCTTCATGTTGGGTAAATCAATGCAAGCATAACGTAAAACCGACATTTTTAAGCCTGTACATGCTGCTTTTTAATATTTTGGGTTAAATAACGTTTTTCTTTATCAAATAAATATAAATACGAAAAATGACATATTTGAACAGGTGGATGGCTTTTGAATGACGAAAAATATAGCTAGGCAGGCAGTAGATAACTAACTAACACGAGTGAAATTTGAAGGTTCTAATGAAAGACTGAAAACAATCATCATTTTTTGCCCCATTAGCTCGTGGATAAACCAGAGAGAAGCAGGAAACACTCAAGGGAGACTTAGAAGTGAGGACAGATTCCGTATCACTCGATAACGACCTATGTCCAAAATAGCTAACGCCATCTCGCTGAAGACAGTGAAATAACCGGCATATTTTACCAGGAACGACCTTTTCTGAAGGCCAATAAATGCCCGACTGATGTAGTCAGACATCTCACGTAAGAATAGGCCGAACTTTTCTCACGCAACCAACCGTGGTCGCCTACCCTTACAGACCATTCCCATCACACTCAGCCGGCACGCCGTTTATGATCCTGCTGATGGTCATGTCACCTAACTCTCCGAAACCTCTAACTTCATCACCTACCCATAGCTTGACGAGCTCTACCAGTAAAGTAAAGCAAGCATATGTACGCTGGGCTACGATAAAGACGTACCGGATTCTGTAACACAGGCGTGGCTCATGCCTCATGGTGACGTCGACTCGCCTTGTCGCCATTTGACACGAGCAAACCGGCTGACGTCACAAACCTAGGAGTGTCACACAAAGCGAGCAGCTAGCGAATCTTTGTTTTCACTTCTCCGGCCCACAAACACCGCCATACCACTCCCCATGCAGTTTGTATCCTCTTCGCCCTCTGGCGGATCGTTTAGCGCCTTCAATTTTGACCAAAATGTACGATAGCACGTAGAGCAGCCCCTCCTGATCCTCGCCTATGGATGACGTCATAGGCTGAGTGGTCGGGCAAACTTCCGGCCATTACACCGGTGGCGGCAGCGGCACCGGGCGGCGGCGGCGGCGGCGGCGGCGGCGGCGGCGGCGAGCCGAGCGGGGTCCCGAAAACTGGACAGGCCGCGCGCTGGAAGTGGGACTCCAAGAGGTTCTGAAGGGACCACTAGAAAGTGTATAGCGTGTGAGTCGATGCATTGATGATGTATGGGAAAGAGGCTGAAGGAATTTAGTTGAGAATTGAAGATGGGTGATAGTCCATACGACAAAGTGAAGACTGGAAGACGAACATATGTGCATACTTAGATGTGGAACGGACGGATAACGTACGGACGACGTACGGACAGAGTCAGGGCGACGTATAGGTACTTGCTTTTATACGGACGGTGAATGGTGACCAGCTTCTCCCTTGAAAGGACGGTATGACGCACTCGAGAAGAGCCTCAACCAGCAGCGGCATGAGTAAGCGGACCGGGGTTCCCCGTTTACCTGAGCAGTTTCGCCCACAGACTATCTATGCATCACTCAGCAATGGAGAGCGATGACTCGGCGGAGCACCTGAGAATGCATGCATTATGATCGTACTCGTGAGAAGCAAGCGATCTTCCTGGCATGCGTCGCATTTGCTTTTCAAGCAGTTTCAACTAAGGCATGGTGCGCTATCAAATCTTCCAGTACAGTACAGCGATGAAACTGTGTCATCCATTCTTCCACTGCAATTAACTATATGCCGTTGTCTCCTTTTCCCGCCCACTGGAGGGTGGATCCTCTTTTGTTCCTCTTTCAGCCATTCTACAGTTCATTAATGGTCCACGCATGAACCAAACAAAGCGCATAATAACAGTTGGCACACATGACTCGGGCCACTGCTTATGCTAAATGCCTTTGTTTAGCCTGATGTTGGTCATGCATGATAAAACCAGAGACAAATATTCATGCAAGAGCATGGTGTCCAAGTTCAGCAATCAGCTATATGTTCAATGTTCATCACTCCCAGCACGGGCAGCCACGAGCGGAGGTGCCGTTACACAACACTCTGCGTCACGACGGATCGTGTAACGTTCCCATCGCTGTAGTGAGCAAAACGGGCGAGCGGGCCGGGCTCCCCGCTCCACCCAACTACCCCCACTCGCAGAGCTGCCCCGAAACTCTCACGTGCCCACAGAACGACCACGAAGTCACACATATGTCTGTCGACAGGGTGGAGGCGACGGGTCAACGGGTCCACGTGACTCTCCGCCGTTTGTACGAGTCCCTTTGTCCGCTTTGAACGGCACTGGCCAATGTGTCGCAGAGCATATGATTTTCCAGTATGAACGTACAACTGCCGGCCATGCGGTATGGCGCCTCAGGCGCCTTTAGCGCTCCGTAACAACTTTCGTGCGTGCTTGCAGAACATTCCCGTGAGTGCGTATACCTAACCGACGTATGCGTTGCGGAAAGCGAGCGACGTGTGATATACGGAGCACAGCTTCACAAAAGACGCAGGTGTTACGAGCTGAACCCTCCCGCTGTCTACTCCGGAACAGCCCAGTGACCACGGTGGTAATAACCCAGTTTCCCGGCATACAGCGCCGCTCCGCACGGCTCTAATTCGGAGGTCCGCCGCGCGCTGGGAGCTTTTTACCGGTCGGCCAGCACCGGAAACAGCTCACAACTGGAGCGAAATCGAGCGCGGGAGCGCGCGAGCGCCAGCGACCGCCCCGCAGCGTTCGCGTTGCGCCGCGACCAGCGAGCCGCTCTCCGGGGCGCGTCTCAGGATGCGGGTTTCGGTGGCCATGGTATTGGAGGTTGATCAGCGATCGTCCCCCACGACTGGCATTGTTGGGTGGCTGGCGGTCGAAAGCTGACACGCCGGAGGAAACCAAAGACCGGGCAAACAGCTGAGTCCGTATCCGTGGGCTGGGGAAGGGGAGGAAGGGGAGAGCTCAGACCGAGCCTGCTGGGCTGGAAACGTAGGTGGAGTTTAGAAGGTTAGCTGGAGAGGTTGTGGCGGAAGTTTGGACTGGTTGGCACGTATGAGGATAATGAACAATGAACAGGAAGTAAACCTGGGAAAGAACCGGCAGGTAGATACATACCCCACGCTGGTGGGACATTGTGATTCGGTTACCTGGCGAGACCCAGGTGGTCACCAAGCCGTGTGTAGACGACCGATAACACCCACAGGAAATCCCTATACGCTGACACATCACCTAACACCGTCACACAGACCGACAGAAGCTCTCACACAGCTCTGTACTCACCTCCTCCTCGCCGTTCTGAGTGTTGACCGAGTCCATGCTCTGGCTGAGACACACTGTTGTGTCCATGATGAGGTGTGTGGCAGCGGAAACCCTGCGGGACGCGCGGCGCGGGCGACTGTCACGGCAGCACTGGGGGCGGGCGGTGCGGGTGGCCGGGCGCTGCGACGCGGTGTGCCGCCGCCGCCGCCGCCGCCACTCCACCTCAGCACACCTAGCGGCGAGGGCTGGTGTGGATCCGGCTGTACCGCCGCCGGGAGTGAGGGGGGTGGGAAGGGGTGACGGGGCAGGGCCGCGGGAGGTCAGTGGACGGAGGACGAGGTTGTATTTTATTTTGGATCTGCGTGCTGGAACTTCGCATTTTCTATTGATAGGTCTCAAAGTTGTTTCTAAGAATGTGATGACAGAAAATATTGGGGCAGTATTAAATCAATTTCAACTTAACCCGCGACCTGGTGGGGGGGGGCTATTTTTTGCCCCCCCCCCTCCAGACTTTTCGATATATCTCCAGAACCGCTGCGCCGATCGTCACGAAACTTCCAGTACCCTCCCGGACATCAATTTTACACATTGTGACCAAAAATTTTTCCAAAGGCTATGATAGGTTGGCCGGAAATGACGTCAGAATGACGTCATGTTCTGCCGTTTTCGACCCAAAAAAGGGTTTCGCGGGAAGAGCTGTCAGGCCTATAGCTTTGCAGATACAGAAAAATGATAAAGACATAAAAGCTGTAGATTGGACAGGGCTACAAAACTGGTATCTCGGATTTTTGAAATTTTTGGATTTTGACCCCCAAAAATCAAAAAATAGATTTTTCGGATATAATAATCGAAAAATCCAAAAAGTTTTTTGAATTTCGCAAAAACCGGAATATATGTGATAGTCCTTACCGCCTTGCATCCACATACCAAATTTGAGATTGATGCCTCTTTTTTTGGCGAAGTTATAGCGAAAAAACTGTTCAAAATTGATGACGTCAAATTTTCAAACTAAATTTTTAGCAATTCTAGACCCCGTAGCGCAAAACAAAGACCACCATTAGACTCCCCGTGACGACCTGCATCGAATCAATACCCATTTTATGCAAAACTATCAACTTTAAAATTTGACCTTTTTTGGCCTGACCTTGACCTGACCTTGACCTGAACTTCACCAGAAAGTGACCTAAGCCGTACCTGATAGTCTTATAACCAACACCATTGAGTTGGAAATGAAAAATTGGCCATAAAACATGTATCACACAACCTTAGTAAAGTTGGGCTCATGTGACCTGACCTGTGACCCTTGGTGACCTGACCTGTGACCTGACCTGGTATTGCCAGTGACCTCTAATAGCAACATATCTACTAGGCAACTGACGCTCTACCGCTGATTCTCGACAAAATGCGTTTTCCTCGGTGTTATAGCGCATTCCCTAGAAGCCCCGTGAACGGTGAAACATTTCATCTTTGACCTGACCTGTGACGTCATCGGTGACCCCGAGGTCAATGAAATTTGGTTTCCTTCGACAAATTTGACAGGCCTTTCGAACGCCGTTTGAATTTTGCGCATCCGTCCAGTAGTTTCGGAGATACGAGGGGGGGCAAAAAATAGCCCCCCCCCCCCCACCAGGTCGCGTTATAAACAGACCCCACCAGGGCGCGGGTTAATGGAAAAACGAATTAACTACACGGTTACGCTATGAACCAAAAACAAAAAGAAATGTTGAATACAATTGAATGATTAGCGTATTTTGGAGGTAAAAGATATGCTTTCATTTTCTTTTAATTCACCTAGCGCATTGGTGGACGGAATTTTGTCTTCTTTCAGCCATGGGTTCAAAATCAGCCATGGGTTGATTTTTCAAGAGTCCTGATGATGAAAGCTTGACATTTCAGACACCTAATGCTAAATGGTACACTATAATGTTGCATTGACTTCATTCATCGTTAATAACTTTCTGTCATTTCGAAGATGACCTAAGGTCACTTAGATGGGGTCATGGTTGCAATTTTCAGGTTCAATAGTAAATATTAGCCTATTGCACGCTATTTAGAATGCTTTAACCCGCGCCCTGCCCCGCTGGGCTAATCAGCCATACGCGCCCTGCTGGAGGGGGGGGGGGCAGATTCTGCCCACCCCCTGTCTAACTTCCGAACCGATGGTCGTGAAAGACGGGGAAACGGCAATCGAAAGCTCTCAACAAGGCAGATCTTAAGAGCCGATTTTTTTTTGCTTAAGTAGGTCAGAGGTCAGGTCAAGGTCAGGTCAAGGGTACAAAATACAAGTTTCTACAGTATCGGCCTTGCACCGTAGTTGCCGAAGAATGGACTGAGATTGATTGCCCAAAACGTGTTCTAAGGCTACCAAGACAATGCTCGTTGCATACAATATCATGCTAAGGTCAAGGTTAAGGTCAGGTCAGGTCACCATGGAAATGAATTATGAAATATAGAAAAGGGCATGTGCGACACATGTTTTATGTCTCATTTTATTCATAAAATTCAATAGGCACACTCAATAAGTGATATGGACCACATCTGGATGAATTTCAGGTCGAGGTCAGGTCAAGGTCAGGTCAAGTGAGGTCAAATTTGAAGTTGGTTGTTAATTTAGACCTAAAAGGGTGTCTATCTGATGCAGTTTTTCACGGCGAATCGAATGGTGCCATTTTTGTTTTCGTACAAGGTCTAGAACTTCCAAAAATTTCATTTTTCAAAAAAAAAATGTGTGTCGTGACGTCATAAACTTTTGAATAACTCCAACATTTTTGAACCGATTCTTCTATGTAAAAACTGGTATGTAGGTGCACATAGACCACTTCTCTGACATAGGTATGTTCCGATTTTTCGACAAACTAAAAATTTTGGAATTTATAATTGTTTTTCCATAAAGTCAGTTTTTTAAAAGAACAAAGTTGGGCCAAAATCCAAAATTTTCAAAAAACCCGAGATAGCCATTTGATAGACAAAGTAGAATCACGTTAACCTTTTTTTGATATCTTTAAAAATGAAGATTTTAGCGGCGTTTGAAAATTTGCCGTTTTGGCTAGTGTGTTCATGGCCTACAACGTCTTACGGAGCTTTTGCAAGGATGGCGACTGTAGCAGCTGCCAGCTGGTAAGAATTTCAGTTTGTTATCAGTCTATGTATATCAACTTACGCGGTTGATTTCCACTCTTAACTGCCCTAGTTGCCGTCTCTACATAGACGAGCCCGTGGCTAGATTCTTTTTTCCAGTGACGTGTAAAGTCAATCAGAAGTGATTTGGATGCGGTGAAGGTAGAATCGTCGTCCTTAGCATTCAGCAGTGACCAGTGACTATGGCTTGGTCCCCAGCTGTCACTTACACGACTTGACACAGACCAGGTAGGATGGTCAATGATCCGATACGATATAGGATTAGGGATTATGATACGGCCAGATGCGGCTCTCGTCGGGTCCTCAGCGGCGTCCCTATAAGGACCAGTTCTGATCCTCAGCGGACCCCGCGGCCAGGTCGCCTCTGGTCCGTTCAGCTTCCGTCGGCCGCCCGACCGGATGTAGGGCGACCGGCTGGCCGGCCGGGCGGCGGGCGGCGAGCGAGGGCGGCGGCGGCGGCGGGCGGTGGGTCGCGCTCTGCCGGCCCCTTTGTTCGCTGCGGGCCACACCTGCCACCGTCCGCTGGACCGCTGGGCCGGCCGTCCTATGAGCCACTGTCCGTAGAACTGTCCGCTGCCCCTTGGGCAACTGTCCGCTGTCCCTGAGCCATTGTCCGCTGTCCATGAGCCAATGTCCCGTGAGCTACTGCCGTTGTCCCTAGAGCTACTCTCCACTAGCACCACCGTTCCGTGCTTCTATCCTCAGGATACTGAAATCCTTCTCCCCAACGCCGCAACCCCCCTCCGGCCTGGACAGGCAACTTTATATCATGCGGGCTGCTCCCTTGGAGCGGCACCGCGCTGCTCCCGAGGGAGCTGCACCCCGTAGCCGGGTGCAGAGAGTGCTTGGGGGGCTGGTCGGCCTGTCCATTTGGACGGGCTCAGCCCCGGCGACTCTCTAGGGTGCCTGCCCAGACCAATGTCTCCCCCTACTTCCTATCATCCTTCCGGCTCTGAAATGGTCTTGTCAGACCGAAAGGGCCTAACCCAACAAAACAAACAAACTCCACTATCCCTCGAGCCACTGTAAGCTGTCCCTTAGCGGCACTGTGCGAGACTGTCCACTGTCCCGTGAGCCGCTGTCCGCTGTGCAGTAAGCTGCAGTCCTCTGTCCCGACAGCCACTGTCTGATGTGCCGTGAGCCACTGTTCGCTGTCCCGCGGAGCCACTGTCCGGCGTCCGCTGTTCCGCGGAGCCACTGCCCGAGTAGGTCTATGTCCGACCGGTTACCACCCTCAGTCCGATGTCTGCCGCCTTCTGTCTTGTGTCCGCTCTCCGCCGTTAAGCCTGTCCGCGGTCCGTCCGCTGTGCCGACAGACTTCTGTCTCGGTGGACAGTCAGATTTACATTGCTGTTATATGTTTCATATCCATTAAATGTTGTCTGTCTTAGAATAAGTTCCCTCTTCACTGTTTCTCTGCTACCCTGTTTGCTGGCAAACTGTCTCCTTTGTACGCTGAACCGCTGTTGTTCGATTATATAAAATCATATCCGCAAAGCTGGAGGAAAAATAAATTTACATTTACTTTATGATTGATATAACCTAACAACATAACGAGTAACACCTTATCAAATTTCATCTGAATGTTGTACTCTAAGCAGTTGTATTTGTTAATTTCTGTATACGTGCTGTTTGCAGTGAAACAAATTTATGATCATGATTTGTGGCTACGGTTCATCGAAACTTTTAGGTAACGCTGATGAAGACATTACGTGTTGTATTGTGACGCCAATTATTCCGCATGGTATCTGCTACGTCAGTTGTCTGATGCTGCCCACGGACGCCTGATCGTGACAAATTGTCCAGAACACAATCGCACCATCCCTATATCAATTACATGATGACGGTGAAGCTAAACACAGCCGACTTGTAATCGTCATGTTGCCTGTGTGCAGGTAATTGTTTCGATTTCAAACCCAACGGACGCCGGGGCACAGAGTCTGTACTGCGGCCTCTCCGCTGGAGGGGGTCGTACAGAGCGGCACCCCTCCAGCAGGAGCAGATAATTGGCCCGAAAACAGACGCCGGCTGCGCGCGCACTACCTGTCCACCT